CGGCCTGAATTCATACACAGCTGAATCAATGTGCTCAAGTTTTCAATTAAATTACGGATTTTAATAAAACTTGTATGTAGTAATAAGCATTTTTATGAACTCATTAGAAAATAAATCGGGTATAGCATCTTTAAAACAGTGATTTGTTTACAAGTGAAAGCTGTTCCGATAAGTGACATTCTATAAGAAACTTGTCACAGCGCTATATATATAAAGATTACTTGCTTATACTGGGATTCTGACAGCTGCAGAGACATACACCTTCAAATCCTCTCCTCACTCTTTGCCTCTTGTGTCTTGTTACCTTTCCTGCTTTCCCACAGTCAGACATTGAACTAATCTTCTTTATGGATTGATTCTCTCCCCTTCTGTCCGTGTATTGTGTGTTTACCTTCCCCTTTTGCTTAAACCTTAAACATTGATTCTCTACTTACACTTGTCTGGGGTATTCTATTTACACAAGGCCTTAGTGTAAACACGTTGCTGTTAGCTAGCACGGCCCTTTAGGGTCATATTTTATTCACTAAAATGATGCAGCGCCGTCTCCTCACCTTGAATTGCTTAGTGACTTTTCGTAGTGAGTCTGGGGTTATACGCGGATCTTCTTGTTCAGGAATGTATACAACATGATGAGGCTACATTCTCAGTCCATACGTCACAGGTATGTAGTGTAGCTAGCAGTGCCACTTTAATTCGCTAGACTGATTTGACTGGTTCTGAACATGGACTGAAAATATTAACAGACGTAGTGAGTCCAATTTCCTTGTATTTATTTATGTGTGATCAACATGTACTTTTTGAAAATGGCAAGAAAATGGTGAATAAAAGTCATTTTCGGAGTGGAGGCTGTATCATTTGCGCACGAGCCTGACACATGGCTGAAAAAAAGCACGTTCATTCAAGAGTCCACAGCGACTAAATTCGGTTGGTCTCCCCCAACCAACAAAAACTCCCCTCAGGCATTGACAGCATCTGGAACATAGCGTTGAGCCAAGAGCTGTCTTTTGGAACATCCTGTAAAGCCGTTTTTGAGAGGAACAAAAAGGAGCCACAAGTATTCATTGGACAATTCTGTTTCCTGTGCACCACCACAGAGATTGCATACATGTCAGTGCTTGAGTCCATGAACCTTTTTGATCTGGGACCCGCCCCCACTGGTTCTGAACTTGATAATGGCGTATGAAGTCTATATTGAAGCTGAAGTTGGCTGAATAACAAATGTTTACCATCTCACCAGCTGCATTAGCGCCAAATACAAAATTATTTGACACAATTAAAAGCACCTATCAGTATGTACAAAGGGCTGAATTCTAGAGGTTCTGAGCATTCCAAATAGGTACAACGAGTCTATATTGGTCGAGCTAAAGACAATTGCCTTCTGATTTTCTGATTTATGATTTTTTATCACCGAAAAAAGTTGTGTCCATTAATCAGCAACTTTATTGTCATCAGTTTGAATGATGTATTTCATTACGAGGTTCTTGACTTCCTTTCCAGCACGCTTTCTCTACATCAGTGGTGCCACCAAAACTTTCAGTAAGAGCTGCTGAGTGCCTTGCTAATGTTACCAGATATTTTTTTCTTACAGACTTGTACTTTTCATGTTGTGAGGGAAAGGTGCCCAGCTGTGATTGATCGCTGAAAAGGAAAAAAAAGAGAAAAAACCCTGACTTTTCCGGTGAAGTGTTGACGTCGTGTTTGTCCCCACGGTTCTCACTTTGTCACGTCAATCTAACTTTGAAACCTTGACTTTGCCTTTCCGCATCCTTCCTGCCTTTTCCATCCCTCCTCCATCTCTCCCCCATCCCTCCCCCATCCCTCCCTCCCCTGCTGCCTCTGGTCTCCGGTCTCAGTCCCCTGCGGTGATGTGATCATCCTCAGAGTCTTTCCTCAGGATCAAATGAGCCGTGTGCCATCGGCTCCGGATCGCTCGCACTCAGACTGTGTGTGTGTGTGTGTGTGTGTGTGTGTACGTGTATGTGTGTGTGTGTATACGTGTATAGTGTGTGTTTGTGTGTGTGTGATGTTTAGTCCTGATAGACATTTTGCTTGATTATCACTGGTTCATTCTGATTCTCAGGATGACTTCACACGTTATCATGGTTTTCTCTCCTCTTCTCGGCGGCACGGTGGCTGAGTGGATAGCACTCTCGCCTCTCAGCAAGAAGGTCCTGGGTTCGAATCCCGGTCGGACCAGGGCCTTTCTGAGTGGAGTTTGCATGTTCTCCCCGTGTCTGCGTAGGTTTCCTCCGGGTACTCCGGTTTCCCCTACCACTAAAAATATGTCCAATAGTTCTGGCATGCGCCTCCTGTACTGGCGACCCCGCTCCCATCTCTGTGTGGAGTGAGAGACAAATGCCCAAAATTAACAATTGTAAACCGCTTTGAGACTCAGATCTGCAGTGAAAAGGCGGTATATAAATAAAAACTTACTTACTTACTTACTTACTTCTCATCCCTTCATCCACTTATTTCCATGTTTTATAGCCATTGGAGAAATCTTTTTTTCCTACTCTACTACTTTTATTTTAGTTATTTATCATATTTATTTTGCAGAGACATTGCATAATACATGTATTTTTCAGTCCAGACATAGCTACAGACTTTTTCATCTGTAGATCCCTGGGAAGAGGCACAGTGACTGCAGGTTTAAAGTGTAGAAAGAATTAATAGATAGAATTGCCTCGTTAGCGTTTAAAATACCACAAAGACACAAATACTGTATTATAATAATTGTAATAATTCATTGGTTTTATATAGTGCTTTTTTGGACATGCAAAGACACTTCACTTGTCATTAAAATCTCCATACTGCAACCAGTCTGTGCCATTGGCCCCTCCCACCACCACTAACCATTCACACACACACCAGACTCCAGCCATTGTGGGTGAAGTGTCTTGCCTAAGCACACGACGGCAGTTTGGCACCTTGGTGTTTCATTTGGTTTCAATAAGATCGTTCATGGTGTGCAAAAAGACAAGACGAAGAAGAGTTATTTACGTGGTTATTTACAATCTGCTTAAATGGACTGCACTCTTGATTATCTTTGATCCAGGTCTTCAGGCTGAGTTTAAACTGTCCCAGTGAGCTCCACTCCTGCACAGACAGACAGAGAGGCATTCAAGATGAAAGTCTGAAATGAACAGGGAAATATCAATCTTCCACCATTTTGCTCCATTTCTTATCATCATTATTTAAACTTATGTGACTGATACAAAATTTAGTCGACAAACACTAGGGTTGCAAAGGGGTTTTCTGTAGGAAGTTAAGGTGGGGAATTTTGGGAATAGTCCACTTTTTTAAATTTTTATTAAAGCCCCACTCTTTCCATTCCACATTAAACATGCTACCTTTTTAGTATCTAACTTCTCAGCTTGCCATCTACTACATAAATACGTTTATATGTGGTTATTTTAATGATTACAATAATTTCATCCATACATTTCCCATTATTGTCATCAAAAGACTCAAATGTGCTTCAACAGTCTTGTGCTTCGGACTCGAGTGTGGTCCAGTCTTCAAGAAATCTTCTGTACGTGATTGAGACACGGGGCCAGTAGGGGGCGTGTTCTCAAAAGCAGTTTGCTATGAGGCAGTGGGGGAGGGAGGGAGTGGGGTACAGTGGTACAGTGGTAGAGGACAATCTTGAGGTCATGAATCCAGTGAAATTAGTCGCACACCTTTTTACAGTAATAAGTTACAGCAGATCAAAAGTGACATGTTTTGACAATTTTTAGGCTATTTTGGACCAAAATGGCTGCTTTAAATCAATATTTCTACAGTAAAAGTGTCTGCTCTTTGGTACAGTGGTAGAGGGCAATCATGAGGTCGTGAATCCAGTGAAATTAGTCGCACACCTTTTTACAGTAAAAAGTTACAGTAGATCAAATGTGACATGTTTTGACCCTTTTTTAGGCTATTTTGGACCAAAATGGCTACTTTAAATCAATATTTCTCAATATTTCTACAGTAAAAGTGTCTGGTCTTTGGTACAGTGGTAGAGGACAATCTTGAGGTCATGAATCCAGTGAAATTAGTCGCACACCTTTTTACAGTAAAAAGTTACAGTAGATCAAAAGTGACATGTTTTGACTATTTTGGAGGTATTTTGGACCAAAATGGCTACTTTACCTCAATATTTCTCAATATTTCTACAGTAAAAGTTTCTGGTCTTTGGTACAGTGGCAGAGGGCAATAATAAGGTCATGAGTCAAGTGAAATTAGTCGCACACCTTATTCCAGTAAATAGTTACAATACTTGAAAATTGCACTAGCGGACCAAATTGTGTACTTTATACATGTAAACAATAGAGTGGCTATCCTCCTGAGGACTCACAATCTGCCGGAGGAATCGTAGGGGGCTGGTGCTATGTGTGCCGGGTGGCATCTCTATAAGGTTTTAATCACAAAAACGTGTCTCCCTGACCCCAGCGCGCTTTCTGTTCGATAAAAATGGGTGACTCCGAAAGGACGTTCCGCTGTTACCTAAGTTCTCAACAAAACGCGCACCGTCTTTTCCCCGATGCGGGCCGCATGTTCATAGAGCTGAAAGATGCGGGCCACTTTACCGCGGTAAATTAATAGACACAGCTGCTTACAGCGATGATCGCTGATGGAGACGGAGACACGCGGTGTGCACGAAGGGGAGGGGCTGTGTGTGTGTAGGTCTCTGTATGTGGGAGAGACGCGTAGCTTGAGTGAGAGTTACGAAGGGCCGCCACATTTTAAACCCCCCTCCCCGCTGTCAAATTGACCGCTGCGGCGGCACTAGACGATGCATGTTTTAAATAGCGTAACAAAAAAAATATATATATAATAATACGAAACGCAATTTGTGGCGGGCGGTCTCTAATCTGTGGCGGTGCGCCACAGATTAGTCTATGTGTGGGAAACACTGCAATGCTCTACCAACTGAGCTACTGTCGCCCCATTTCCATCTTTGAAAATTCCCAGAAATATCTAGAGCCTTAAAAATACCCCACTCTTTGTGTGTGTTGCAGGATGATCCACGGGGGGCAGTTCCTGAACGGTTTGGGGGGGCCCACCATCATGAGTGCGGGGCCGTACCTCTCCACCACATGGTTCGCCCCGGATCAAAGGGCCACCGCGACGGCCGTGGCCTCGCTCTTCTGCTACCTAGGGGGCGCCGCCTCCTTCGTGGTGGGACCCATGGTGGTACCGGCCCCCAACAGCACTCAGCTCAAAGGATTCTGGGCCGCAGGGGTGGGCAGCGACTCACTGATCAGAGACAGGATACAGCTGGTCATGTACGGAGGTGAGTACGACACATTTACACTGGTTTAAAAGAGCGAGAGACCAGAGAGAGGGAGAGACCAGGGAGAGACCAGGGAGAGACCAGGGAGAGACCAGAGAGAGATCAGAGAGAGACCAGAGAGAGGGAGAGACCGGAGCGAGGGAGAGACCAGAGAGAGATCAGAGAGAGACCAGAGAGAGGGAGAGACCGGAGCGAGGGAGAGAACAAGCTCAAAGAGAACATTATTCTCTTTCTGGGTAATTCTCTTTCCGGGTGCACCCCCACCGCCCCGGAGTGAGATTGCAGCATGTCAGCGCACGTGCTCATGGACCTTTCTGACTTTAGCATGATAAAGAAGTAAAAAATGTCTACCAGTTTTCTTGCTAAATGTCCTCTATATTTGGTACAAGGTGAGTTAAACACTAAGTTTGGACACATCAGCCCGTGTCTTGTACATTATATTTTTCGTACATCACATGCATAAACAGATACAACATCCATCCATCCATCCATTTTCTACCCTTTAATCCATTTCTGGGTCAGGGGGGTGGCAGTCAGAGATGCCACCCAAGTCTCATAGCACCAGATACAACATATGTACGTCAATTTCTAAAACTTTTGCGAAAGTCGTGATCTGCCGGTACACGCACCACATACTGAGAACCGCCGAGCCTTCGCAGTCGTTCGGATCAATAACAAATCATCTGAACATTATGTCGTCTGCGTCTCGGGCCCAAAAAATAATCGAGTAAACGTGGGGCGCAGGAGGCGATCCAATAGCGAGGAAAAAAACGGCAAAAAACTTCAATTATTCTCTTCATAACCAACGCGCCGAGGAGTGGATTGTGGAACAGTTATGCTTAAGTGATTCAGAAAATTAAAAAGCATGTTGAAAAGAGAGAGGGGTGGAATTGAACAGGGGCGACTGCTTTTGTTTAACTCTGCTGTTGTTTTATGAAGTTTTAGACAGATTTACGGCTCAAGGTTGAGAAAATACGAGGTCAGTGAGTGTGGCTCGTCTCATTAAGGTGAAGCTTTCAACTACAGCGGCCTCTGCTTTATCTCCGGGTTCAGGTCTAAAAACAACCAGCGATTAGTGGGTTTTAAGGCTGTAAAACCCTCACACACACTGCAGAAAATAAGATATGTGGTCATAGTTATTGTTAATTTGAGTACTGACTTAAAATAAGATTCTCCAATGGGACAAGGCCATTTAGTCTAATTTAAAGAACTGTTGCTTTATTTTCTCATTCCAAGGGAGGCATTTATTGTATCTTTTCAAAATAATATCACTTTGCTCATTGTCCCATTGGCAAATCCTGTTTTTTAAAGCAGTCAGAATGTGCTAAAATTAAGATAGATTTAGTTATTGTTAATTTGAGTACTGACTTAAAATAAGATTCTCCAATGGGACAAGGCCATTTAGTCTAATTTAAAGAACTGTTGCTTTATTTTCTCATTCCAAGGGAGGCATTTATTGTATCTTTTCAAAATAATATCATTTTGCTCATTGTCCCATTGGCAAATCCTGTTTTTTAAAGCAGTCAGAATGTGCTAAAATTAAGATAGATTTAGCCAAATTTCAGCAATTTTTGACTTTATTTTCATTACCTTTTAGCCGTGCACTATTTTTCTAACCACCTGGACTCACAACTGCTGAAGTGCGAGAGACCAGAGAGAGACCAGAGAGAGACCAGAGAGAGACCAGAGAGAGACCAGAGAGAGACCAGAGAGAGACCAGAGAGAGACCAGAGAGAGACCAGAGAGAGACCAGAGAGAGACCAGAGAGAGACCAGAGAGAGACCAGAGAGAGACCAGAGAGAGACCAGAGAGAGCAGAGAAGAGAGCAGAGAAGAGAGCAGAGAAGAGAGCAGAGAAGAGAGCAGAGAAGAGAGCAGAGAAGAGAGCAGAGAAGAGAGCAGGGAAGAGAGCAGAGACGAGAGAGAGATCAGCGAGAGACCAGGAGAGAGAGGCCAGGGAGAGAGCGCAGAGAGAGACCAGAGAGAGACTAGGGAAAGAGACCAGAGAAACAGTACTTTGAACTCATCACTGCGGTTAATAAAGTTTCTTAAACAGATTCCAATCTCGGTTTGTTCTTGGTTTAGCCCAGATTCCGTCTTGGTGTCCAATGTCAACAAACACAAATCCATGTTCAGTTTAGGACCGTTTTTTTTCTTGTTTATTTCCTTCTATTGCAGTGTTATGTCTTATTTGAATCGAGTCAAAACCGTAGACATTTCCAGGAGATTGCAGAAAGCAGTGAGAGATAACAGGGAAAAACGTGTTGGACTCACGGATTAAAAGCAGGTGACATTTTCATAAAGGTCGAAGCCGAATATTTACAGCCTCAAACCAGCGATGCAACAAAAAGGTAGATTAATGATCACTGATAAAACTGACTGACAAATGGAAGCGTCAGACACAGGAAGCCGGGAATCATACTTATTATTACTTGTCGACGTGTTTGTGAGGAGAAAGTGTAACCTTGGAAAAGCCGGATAGATACAAGTCTTAATGATGTTTTCTGAGTCTGAAGCCTCATTCCCACTGAGCAAAAACACAGGAATATCCACCAATAAGTCTGGGTGGCCTCTTCCTCACTCACTGACACAGGCTGGTGTGTCAAAAGGACTCGCTGTCGAACCCGCCTTGTGACCTAGTCGTTTTGCTAAGGCACATGTGCGAGGGTGAGGGGAGACCAGGAGCGACCGTTTGTGGAAGCTAATGAGGATCTAAATTAACTAATAAATAGATGTAAATTAGACAGGATTTTGCTCTTTTAAAAAATATGTTTGGAAATGTCAATGCCTCCATGTGGTTGATGAACTTGCCACAGTCTGTTATAATGTGATATCCTCTGGTTTCTTCCTGGTCTCTGTCTCTGGTCTCTCTCTGGTCTCTCTGGTCTCTGTCTCTGGTCTCTCTCTGGTCTCTGTCTCTGGTCTCTCTCTGGTCTCTCTGGTCTCTGGTCTCTCTAGTCCTGGCTGCACTGTGCTGTGACTTTATAATACTTATATTGAAAGTCTGGGGTTTGTTATCGACTTTTATTTTTACAGTCCTTTCTTCCCATAATGTACAGCCGACACGGGTCAAAACAACCCGCCATCCTTTCTCACCGTTATCCCGAGTCGACACTGCCTTTCATAAAACACAGCATCACAGTGGGGGAAAACCCTCATGTCTCCTCTAACTAGATTCAGATTCAGTTTTTTTTTTACCATCTGCAGTAAAACCACATTGGAATAACTTTACAAGGCACCACTCCAGACTTCTGACCATGACTTTTTCCCTGTGCGTCTCTCAGAGCTGGGGGCCATCGCGGTGCTGTTTGCGGCCGTCCTGCTCTACTTCCCGTCTCGTCCTCCTCGTCCTCCCAGCGTGGCGGCGGCGAGCCAGAGACTCAGCTACCGCAGCAGCATCTGCCGACTGCTCAGGTACAGACACGTCTCAAACACAAAGTCACGACTGCTTTGACTCTGGGTAAAGTCTATTCTTGTAATTTATAAAGGTTGGCTCATTTTTAAAAATAAGTCTTTAGTTCAATACAGATTATTGATATTGGTTATTATCATTAAGTACACAAAAAACTACTATTCAATGTTGCTCCCAAACCAATCAGAGAGAGCAAAAAGCGGGCTCTTAAAGACGTCTTCTAGCTTTGAGACTGCATTTATCAGTCATACACACAGTATAAGCCCAACTTTACTTTAAACATTTGAGCAAATTATAAAATTTAAAGGTGCAAAAATCTCAAACACCTCAAAGTCATGGAGAAGTCTGACTTATTCAAGTGAAGTGTCCTTTCCTTCACCCGCACAACAAAGGCAGGTAGTGGAATACAATGAGGGAGGAGGGATTTGGGAATTTGTGGAGATAAAGGAAGACTTGGAACACATTTGGCTTTTTGTTTGAAGAGATGAGGGAAGACTGTGCTTTGACTTCTGGGTAAAGTCTTTTCTTTTCATCTCTAAAGGATGAGCTATTATGTTCTTTATTGAATCTTTTGGTAGATATTGATTGCTGTCATTGGCAGTGGTGAGAGTAATGCGTTAACCAAGTAACTCTAGTACTTTGCTGTAACCAGTGGGGGAGGGTCCCAGCTCAAAAGTGGCCAAAATGACGTGCGCTGACATGCTGCAATACCAACCCGGGCCGATGGGGGTGGACCCAGAAGTAGAATTAGCCAATGCTAACATATAGCATTAGGTGACCTCTCAAAAACGTCTTTACAGGATGGACCAAAAGTTGGCTCTTGGCCCAAAGCTCCGTTCCACATGTGTGTCAATGCTGAGGGGGGTGGATTTTTTTGGACCAGTTTAGTTTAGACGCTGTGAATTTTTTAAGTCACTCATTTAAATTATAATGAGGCTTGTGCAGCTGACGCATGCGCAGATGCATTTTTCTTTTTTCACATTTTCCAGCCCCCGCAGCCATTTTGAATCACTCCATGAAAGCCCAATTTTTGGCCCATTAGTTACTACTACTACTACTTAAGTTAATATATACAGTCTATGGCTGTAACACAGTAATGTAAGGCATTCCAAAAAACCTGGGAAGTATTTGACTTGGCACAAAACGTTTACATTTGTATTTTAACAAAAAAATTAATTGTGTTTTGTTTTATACTTTTCCACTGGACGATCAGCTGAGTAGAAACAATCCAAACCAATAGTAAGTGTTGTTCCTTTCTGGTAGAAGACGGCTGAGGCTGAAGCAGAATCAAGCCCTACGTCGACAATAGTACATGTTACGGATGGACAGACTCCCATTATTTAGAGTTTGTTGGGGACAAAGATGTTCAACATTTATGTTAAAAACCAAAAGCTCCATCAACCTCACACAATAGCATCATAAGCTACATTAAGTATGTATTTATATATTTAGGCAAGGTAACGTCAAAGTAATGCAGTGTAATGCTTTACAATTCAGAGACGGTCATATTGTAGTGGAACACATTACTTTGAAATAACAGTAACTAGAAATACATAATGTATTACGTTTTTGAAGTCACTTTCCCAACATTGGTCATTGGTCATTATCAATATGTATACAAAACATGATTTACACTATTCAGGGTTGCTACCAAACTGGTCTGACCACTGCGAGTGCGCAAAGGGGTCTTTCAAAGGTATCTCCTAACATGGTTGTATTACTCAAAGGTTGGAATGGCATCTGTGAATATACTTGATATCATGCATAGAGTAGAAGCAGTACTTTGAGTATTTGAATCTTGGTTTCCGGCTAGTTGCATTTTTTTTTTTTCGTGCTCTTGATTCAGCCCAGATTCAGACTTGGTATCCAATCTCAAAAATCGCAGTTCCAAAATCACCTGAACTCGACTGGACTTGAATTGCCACATTATGAGCCAGAAGGAAAAGAAGCAGGACAAGGATTTGTTCTGTTTCTTTTGCGTCTGAAACGAGGCCATGAGCTCGGCCTGTCCCTCACTCTCGAACGCGCTCCGTGACTGCTATATTAGCAATGAGATTTTCATTGCGTTTGTGAATCCTGATGCAGTCCGTCCTCTCTCCATCTGCTCAGTGGTATCGGACGCTCCCTGTGGCTTCATTACTGCTTTATAATCTCATATATGCCTCTCTGCATCTCTGCTCCTCTGCTTCTCTGCATCTGTAAATGTGGGCTGTGGTCCACTGGGTCCAGAGAGAGAGACGCATCAGAAATATGAACTTTATCTGACAGAAAGACAGATGGATGGATGGGTTCCAGATCCGAGCAGAAAGGAATGAGCTTCTAGTACCAAAACTAAATCAATCTCTGGGTTCTCTCTCTCTCTCATGTCTCTTTCTGGTCTCTCTCTCTCTGGATACTCTCTCTCTGGTCTCTCTTTCTGGACTCCCTCACTAGAGTTGGTCTCTCTGGTCTCTCTCAGGTCTCTCCTTCTCTGGATACTCTCTCTGGTCTCCCTCTCTGGACTCCCTCTCTGGACTCCCTCACTAGAGTCGGTCTCTCTGGTCTCTCTCAGGTCTGTCCTTCTCTGGAAACTCTCTCCGTCAGGTCTCTACTTCTCTCTCTCTGGTCTCTCTCTCTGGACTCTCTCACTAGTCGGTCTCTCTGGAGTCGTCTCTCTAGAGTCGACCCCTCTGGTGTCGGTCTCTCTGGTGTCGGTCTCTCTGGTGTCGGTCTCTCTGGCGTCGACCTCTCTGGCGTTGGTCTCTCTGGTGTCGGTCTCTCTGGCGTCGGCCTCTCTGGAGTCGGCCTCTCTGGTGTCGGCCTCTCTGGTGTCGGTCTCTCTGGTGTCGGTCTCTCTGGTGTCGGTCTCTCTGGTGTCGGTCTCTCTGGTGTCGGTCTCTCTAGAGTCGGCCTCTCTGGTGTCGGCCTCTCTGGCGTCGGCCTCTCTGGAGTCGCCTCTCTGGTGTCGGCCTCTCTGGTGTCGGTCTCTCTGGAGTCGGCCTCTCTTGAGTCCGTCTCTCTAGAGCAGGGGTGCTCAATACGTCAATCGAGATCTACCAGTCGATCGCAAAGGTAGTATTGTAAGATCGCATTACATAAAAAAAAAAAAAAAATCTGTTTATGCATTTGCGTGTGGACAGAGATAACCGGAGTTTTGCGTTTTTGCACGCCAAAGTATGCTCCCAAAACAACAACAACAAACAAAACGTGCGACCTCTGATCACTGAAGCATGGGTCATACTGCCTTAAAACTGTTCACTACTGCAGCGGTTCACAGCAGCAAACATCCTCGCTCCACATCAGAGAGCAGCAAAGTGATCACAGGGACTCAGGCTCCAAAACAAATAAAACAGGAGCTAAACCAGGATCAAACCAGGGCTGAGGACTGGGGTCAATGCTTGTAAACACATGTCTTCACCATGGATCTATAATAACGTCTTCACCCTGAGTTTCTACTATGACTGTAAGTGCCGCTACAGAACGAAAGTTACAAATGTAACTACGGTTCTATGAATTCTGAATGACCACCAGAGGCGGTGCTTAAATGCGAATTATTTCATAAATCAAGGGGTTTTGCATGTACATCAACATACATTGTAGATAATAGATATAAAGAATCCTCAATATATATATGTTTTGCATTTTTGTAATAGGTAGATCATTTTGACTTGATCATTTTATAAGTAGCTAGCATGCTGAAAAAGTGTGAGCACCCCTGCTCTAGAGTCTATCTCTTTGGTCTCCCTATGATCTCTCTTTCTCTGGAATCTCTATCTTGTCTCTGTCTTTCTGGTCTGTCCCAAACTGGTCTCTCTTTCTCTCTCTCTCTTCTCTCTCACTCTCTGGTCTCTCTCTCCAGTCTCTATATTAGAATGTAAGAATGAAAATTGGCCATCGTGAGGAATATTTTGTCCCAAATAAAAAAAAAATACAATCCAGATCTAAAAGGCCAGCACGAGCCATGTGGTGACTGTAATTTTTAGCCCAAAAACCACAATCAAAGAAATCTTCCAAACCTGTCAATTGCGGTATACCATCGAAACATGTTAAGCTCTTACCATCACTATCTTACAAATGAAAATATATAAGTTTAATTTAAACATGATTTTAAATAAACTAGTCAGCGCACTGGTGTTCAATCTGGTCACATAAGTTTGACTGATTTTTGTCGTTTGAGCAAAAATGTCTGCACAACGCTGCCAAATCGTCTGTGCATCATTGATTTAGAGAAGAACATCAATAAAATAAGTGTCAATAACAAGAGAAAATGATTATAACTTGGTCAAAAGCTGTGAAAAGTCGGTTTATTATTGTCCTCCATAGTGTATTTGAGAATATAGGTTCAATGATCCAATTTTTGAACAATAATTGAAATCTACCCAAGTACCAGTACTACCCAAATAAACAGCCGCTTTTCGTGATTAAAAACCAATGGGGAAATGTTGGACCAAACCAACGCCTTCTCCTCTCTCAGCTCTGGCTCGTGCCGCTGACCTCCTTTGGTGAGAGTGTCTCTGCAGCGGTGCCAGGATTCCTCCAGTCCTCGCCCAGTCCGCACTGAGCCGGTCTCATCATAAACCGGGATTGGGACCAGGATTTGGGTCTGAACTGGGACATCCACATCCAGACGAGGGCTGAGGCTGCTGTGGGGACTGATAGGCTCCGGTCCAGTGACCTGCTTGGACCGAGGAGAGGCCCACTGCAGAGAGATGTGAACCGCTTCTGCAAATGCTTCATCAAATATGGATAGAGAGAGAACTGGAGATGGGGGATATTGTTAGTTAAAAGCATCCATGGCTTCTGACTTAAAGCAATTACATTATTAGAGGATTTGATCACTTTCGGAAGTACACCCTGGTTTTTAGACTTTTTGAATTAACCTGAAGTTAAGCCGCACCAGCTAAAATTTAAAAGTGTTAAATAATTTAGGCTTCAAAGTTTCTATCAGGAAACCGGTCCTCTGTATTTGACCTGCATTCTGCTAGGCCCTTTGTCAGGAGCTGTAGTCCCTGTAGTACAGATT